ACACCAGGGAAGGACAAGCCAGCTAGGGTCCACAAGAAAGAGCCAGCTCTTCAAGGTAAGATCAGTCTTTGTGAGTTGCCAGACAACGGTTTTATTGTGATATCATGCGTGGTTTTGAACCAGTGTGCGGCAGAAGGGCAGATCCTCATCTGGTGTGGTGTCATAGCTCCACAGTCAATTAAGCCAACACCATGTTGCAGTGTTTTGGGGCCTACAGAAGCAAGTCTGACTGAGGCCATGATGGCAAATGCACAACCGTATTGAGCAGAGAGAGGTTGTGATGTGAGATTTGGTGGTTGGGGAGATGGAGGGACAACAAGGCAGAGAGGTCCAGAGACAAACGGTCTTATTGGAGTTGAGAGAGTGAAGGGTTCGCAGTGAAGGGTAAGGTTACTACTCTTGTGCTCCCAAGCACAGAACAGCAAGATGAACAGCTCTGCAGGCTGCCCATTGAACCTCAGAAAGTGGTGTTTCTCCAACTTCCTTGCCCTGCTTTGGGAAGGGGGAGGGGCTCTGGCTGAGCCCCATACAGCCACCTGCCCTGTGATTAGAAGAAGACAGTCTTCTGAAGAGGCTTTCAGCAGGAACTGGGCTGCCTGCTCTCCTTGCACTAAACGGCAAGGGTGAAATCCTGGTCACCACTGAAGTTAAAGGGAGTTTCGCCACTGACTCCAGCAGGCTAGGATGTATCTCAGTCCTGGTGGTATATGGTCTCTGGGAAGTCAGATTTTGGGTGCTGTCATGTGACAGTGCCAAGGAGTCACAGAAAGAGCTGTTTTCTTCTAACACTGAACAAGGAACTTTATTGGAATAAAGAAACCAGTGTTATCCCTAAAGCCTTCTGTCTGTCTCTACTTCCAGTACCTCCTCCAGCCCCCAGTTCCTGCCTGGATTCCTGCTGTAGATTTAAAGAAACAGTACACATCTTCATGAAGTCTTGCCAACTATCACAACTTGATCATAGGTCTCGGGATATTTGGTGTTTTCCTTAAGGCCTATGGTCCTGTTGTTACAGGACGATCTCAGCTTTCATTTCAAAAGGAAAGTAAGTTTCTCCTGGTGCAAGAGGAAAGCTTGAGAAATGTGAATCCTGACAGCTCAATCAGAACCCCAGCAGGCAGATCAAGAGAACCCAGCATTCATCAGTCTTTAAATTCCCCTAAGTCCAGGGGCCTGACTTGTCATGGCGATATTGAAACCATCAAATGGTACCGCTCACCTTACACGGCTGCCTCATTATAGCCTTCCCCCATTTGGTTGCTTTCCGAGAGATCTGGCTTCCAAAGTGCTCACCTTCAGACCCGCTTATTCCCTCTCCCTCAGGAGTTTATATCCAAGATATTTAATAGGAATGAAAAACAAGACAAATAAGTTTGAGGGTTGGGTTAACTTTATCACAGAGCCCTGAGACCATGCATAGCACCTGGCGGCTCATCCCCACCAGCCTGTCTATTCCAATAGGGGGAATTCTCCCTCTGTGCTTATGTTACAAGGTGGAGTGGGGTCAGGCTGCTCTGAAAGGAGGTGATGCTGGGGAAACTGCAAACCGTGGGGACTCTCCTTGAAATCCTTTCCATTAAAAAAAGAAAGCCAAATTGCCCAGATCCTGAACCCTGCACAGGAAAGCAGAGGAGATCAACCCCAAAGTGTTCAAAAATCATGAGTCAGACCCCCAAGCGCTCAGCTCAGGCTGGCAGTTCACACAGATGTGCGGAGACTATTTTCTCTGTTCATCGTTTTCCTACCCGGTGATTCCTCTCCATAGTGCTCACCCTGCAGTGACACCTGCTGGGTGAGCCCAACTAACACAACAGATCCCAGGCACCTACATGGATGCATTAGCCACAGTGAAAAGACAAATTCTGCAGGCTCAGGCCCTTACTCCGATGAGCAGTTCTACAGTCTTCCAGGGGATTACTCAGGTGAGTAAGGGCCTTGAGGGATCAGGACCTGAGCTAGAAGCCAAGCGTCTGCTGGCAATACACGTGTTTAAGTTACCTTCAGTGATAAGTGCTGCAATCATGGTGGATTTCAGCGTGTGGGGAGCACAAGAACAGTCTGTGCTCCCCTCAGCTCCTGATTTCTGTTGGCCTGCTTCTGCCTCATAGCCTTGCCACTGCAGGGACATCTGAGCCCCCAGGGCATGCAGCAGACCTGCTGTGCCTGACCCCATCATAGGAACACAGGGCTGGCTAGACAGTGTTCCTACAGAGCCCTGGCCCAGGGAGGCCAGCATCCTGTCTGGGAAAGTGGCAGCACAAGGCACTTCAGAGGAAGGCTGTCCGAACCCTGCTGTAGCAATACACGCTGGGCAAAGGTCCTGGTGATTTCAGTGGGTGTGCACCACCTGCATTAAGCAGATATTAGACACCCGGTTAATCTTTCTGACTGAGCTACCACTCAGGGGGCTTGCAACTTAAGGCAATAGGAAGTATTTTAACATGGAAGTTCTATTCGCTGCCTCTCTCGGTGTATTAACAGTCAGATCCATTATTTGCATTACTGTAGCTCGTGCAAGGTTCCTTGCTGCTGGGTGCTGCCCAGATGGACAGCAGTGCCCTCAAGAGCTAACGCACACACTTCAGACACGGGGCGGGAGAGATGGGAAGTGACGTGCCCAAGGTCATGCAGCACATCAGGGTCAGAGCCATGAAGACAGCCCATCTCCCCAGAGTCCCCGTCCAGTGATCTAGCCATTAGGTTATGCTGCCTCCTCAAATACATCGATTTAATGGCGTTTTGTCCAAAGCAGCAATTTAACCAAGCAGGGGTGGGAGAGAACCTGAAATTGTAAAACGCGTCTATGCAGCATAGAAACCTGGCCTGGGGTGAACTCCTAGTTATGCAGCCTAAAAAGGGCAACTAAATCTCATGCTTCAGGGCATCATCTTCTCCTCAGCAAGGTTAGGAAGGATTTCTCCTACCATAAAGGGGTCACTCTGCCCACAGCAACTGGCTATTTCGGCTACAATGAGCAGCCCCGCTTAAACCAATAAAGCTTGTCAGCTAAGACCCTGACCCTGCCAACACTTATGCACATGCTTAACTTTAAGCCTGTGAGTAGTTCCAGTGAAGTCAATGGGATTTAAGGCAGGCCCTTCAGTGTTTACAGGATTGGGACCAAATGCTTAACTCCCTGCAAGGATTAATTGGTTAATGTTTGCAAAGAGCTGCTTTGAAGATGAAAGGCCCTGGAACAGAGTGTGAAGCATTTTTATTACTCTATAGCTGGGAGTCAGGAAACAAGTTATCAGAGGAGATTATAAAGATACACTGAACCCCAGAATTTTTGCCTGAAACCATTCTGAGAAATCAAACACCAGGGTTGCTACAACCATCCAATGGCCAAGGCCTCAGAGTGGACTGTCCCTCTCTCACAGACATTCTTCTCTGAGAACTTGAAAGGAAATCCTAAAAAGCCAAAGGCTAATGGGATCTTTTTTTCCCCAGCCAATATGCTCAGAGAGTCTCCCTCGCTCTCCCTGTGCACATGAAACCAACAACTGGAGCTAGCTACCTGCGCACACACAGCTCCTCTCCCGCTCTGAGCAGAGCCAGAATTGGTACAAAAACAGGACAGACAGGAAGCCGCCTGAGATCCGCCTGTAGAGAAGCTGGCATTTGTAACTGCTTTTGCTACAGGTTGGAATAAACGCTTTGGGACGTGGACCGAGATCTGCAAGATGCAAGTGATTTGGGGGTGAGGGTGAGACGCCTTCAAGGAGCCTAATTGTCAGAGTCCCACACACTGAGCGCCCTAAATCACTCGTCACTGTTGGGAATCTGGGCATTGCTGGTTAGTGAATCAGCACACACCATCCCCCAGCTGCTCTGCTCTGGGTTCTCTTGCCCTCCAGATCGCCCCGGTAGCGGGGGGTGTCTATACCTGGGCAGTAGCGCCTCTGAGCCCGGGGGAAATCACAGTCACCCGTATCTGACCGTCTCCACAGGGAAGCATTAAAATAAACCCGTCTTTATAGGCGTGCGGGGCTCAGTGTTTCGGCGGCGGGAGGCCAAAGGAGCAGGAAGGCGAGTGAGTGGCTGGAAGTCCTGTCCCGCCGGTCGGGTGGGAAGCCCTTGGCCCGCAGGGGGGATCACTGGCCTGAGGAAAGGCTGTTCCACCGGGGCTGAGCTTTCAGCGGTAACCCAGCTCCGGGAAGTGCTGGCTTGTTGGAAGTCAGGGTCCCCCCTAGGCGCACTGCCCTCAAGGCTCGGGGCAGGGCGCGCACCATGCCCCGGGGCAGCCCCAGGAAGGGCTGCGGGTTCCGTGCCAAGGAAATCCTCCTGCTCCGCTCCCAGCCCCTGCTCGCTCAGTGGGGCCCACCCCGGAGCCGGCCGCTCCCCGAGGCGCTCGGAGCTCTCGCCGGGCAGCAGGCGGGCTGGTGCCTGGGGGAAGGGGGCCCGGGACCCGTAGCCTGCAGGGGGTGGCCAAGGCGCCCCTGGGGAGAGGGGAGCGCAGGGCCGGCTCCAGCCCAGCCGTGTCCCCGCGCCGCTGACTCTGCCCAATGAGAGCCCGGAGCGCACAGGAGCTGTCAATATTTCTAGGCTGCCCCCACGCCCGCAGCTCCAGTGTGTCCGCAGCCCCCGCGCCAGGAGCTCCATGGAAGCGGCCCCTTCCCTGCTCAGGAGCGAGCTGCCCCGGCCCGCGCTGGGGGCTTAGCCCTGCTGGAGGTGCCCGCCAGCGGGCGGCGCGTCCCCAAGCCAGCCGGTGCGCCCGGGCGCATGGAGCAGTTCTCCTGCCCTCGGCTGCCTCCCGCTGCCCACGCAGCCGCGCGAGCCGTGGAGAGCGGGACCTGCCAAGCCGCGCTCGGCCCCACGGACGAGGCGGAGCCTGGCTGCCCCGGGAGGAGTGAGGGGGGCCGGCCCCGTCCCGCGCCCCGAGGGAAGCTGGATAAAACTTGCCCCTGTTCTTTCTCCGTCTCGAGAGCCGCCCTGGGGAAGCGATGCTGAGCTTAAGCCGCGGGGAAGGCGCTGCTAGGATCCCCTTGGCCCCCCGGGCCCCCGGCTGCAGCCAGCTCCCGCGGACAGCGGCCCCCGCCGAGGGCACGAATGCCAGCTCCCGGCTCTGCTTCGCGGTGGTGCTGGTGCTGCTGACGCTCACGCCCGGAGTGGACTCCTCGTGGTGGTAAGTGATTTGGGGGGGGGGAAGCTGGAGCCCGCAACCCCTCCAGCAGGCTGGCTGGGGAGCGCTCCGGTTCGTCCCCCTGCCCGGACAGCTCGGGCCGGTCAGGGACCCAGCCCCGGGAGCCGAAGGTGCGAACGGGCTCCCGCCAGCAGCCAGCGCGCGGTGACAGCTGCGGGCGCGGGCCGGGCTGGTCCCCGGGCTTTCTGCGTTGGAGGGGGCGGGAGGGTGTTCCGCGGAGCTGCGCGCAGGGCGCAGCGAGGGTGGGAACGGCCGAGGGAGGACAGGGCCGGGGCTGGCTGAGCTGGGAGAAGTTACTGCCCTGCTGAACCCCCGAGCCGGGTTTGTAACTAGCCGGGGGCGCTTTCCCTTGGGCCAAAGCTCCCCCGGCGCCAACCCCAGAGCGAGCGTCCCGCGGGTGGGGGTCCCGTCCCCGCCAGGCCGGATCCCTGCGAGGGACAGGTGCTGCCGGGGGGTTTCCAGCCAGTCGAAGGCAGCGTGACACTCCGTGAAGACAGAACTGCTAGGCCCTAGGACCCCCGGCCCGGGGTGCTGGTGCCCTGCACCCCTTCCCCTCGCGTTAGCTCCGCTCGCCCCGACTGCTCCCAGCCCTAGTGCTCCCAGCAGAGGCGGTGGGGTCAGGATCCGGCCCCCACCTTCCCCTAGCAAAACTGCCCTGTTAAAAGCCCCCCTCTGCCGGGGGGGTGGGGAGAATACTGCAGGCTGACTGCTCGGTTTGCCCGGTTGTTAGGATACCGACTCATGCCCCAAGCAAAAGTTGACGCTTGTCATTGTTAATGCAGCTGTGGAATAAACAGGGCTTTAGCCTCCTCCTCACACCCGAGTTGCAATTTAAGGGTGTTTTTATTTTTCATACTTTGGAATTAAACAAAAAGCTCCTTGAATGACGAAGGCCGACCGTCCGCTGCGGCAGGACCCAGCACTAACGAGGCGCTGGGTCAATGCTACAGTTAGTTACCTTCAGAGCTTGGTAGTACAAGCTGCGATCTAGAGCGTGGGGCTTTTCTAAAACGTGGAGAAAACCTGGTTATTTCAAATCCGACTATTGGATTTAACTTCCAACGTGTAAAAATGGTCAACCCCGAGCTAAGAGCCCCGCTGACCATTCAGACACATAAGGGAAGAGGCGGCAAGACCCTATTTCAGTCTCGTGTAAACGGCATGTTTAGCCCGAGAACAGGGTGCTTGTTAAAAGTTCGCTCTGTGCTGACGTGCTAGGAAATCATCTCACCCACCGTCTTGTTATCCGGAGAGAACCAAAACGAATTGAACAAACTAACCGACTCCAGCCTCTCAAAAAACTCAAACCAAGCAAAGACACCGAGAAACCCGCACGATTATACTCAGGCAAGGAGTCCGGCGGACATTTGGCTGAGTAAAAACTGCAGGATCGGGGCCGGAGCTGGGAGAGGATTGACGCATGAAAACAGGTCCTGTTTCCCGTCGAGAAGCTCCCCAAACCAAAACGACAGCGCCCCGTCCAGCCATGCCAACGCTTCATTACCCAGGCTAGCAACGAGCCTGCTTTCATGTCCCTGTTCCAACCTGCATAGCGCTGCGAGAAACTCCCCCCTCCAACACTGGCGTTCGCTGAGCAGGGCGTTGATCAATACAGACATAGGGGCGCAAAGCCTCCGTTCTTTATTCCCCACTTCTCCCCCCCCAAAAAAACCCCTCCCTGATTTCTCCTGTCCTGTGAAAGATGTTCATTAGCTGCATCCATTGAGGATCAGGGAAAGGGGCTTACACTTTTCCTCTTTTATGCTGCTACAAGTTAAGAAAAGGAGAAGGCAGTTAACTAACTGCTTGCTTTGATTTTGCTACGCATCCAAATCGCGGACAGAAATAGAAAAACAATGGGGGGGGCGGGGGTGTCCGACTTCCACAGCCAAATACTCAACCTGGGTACAGGTGAGTAGGTCACTGCTGAATTCTGCAGCGGGCAATACAATAGAAAGAGGCGAGTCACCAAAGCTGGTGTCCTTTGGAGAATGCTCACCTGTGGACTTTGAGGATTGGAGCTTTCTGATCATCCTATGGAAGATTAAAACTCTCTGCCTCAGATACAGATCTATGGGGCTTCAGTATCTCTCTGCTATTCAAAACACCGCCTTTCAAGTTCAGCTTCAAGGAAGAGTCTAGCCAGAAGCAGATCAAACCGAGTTTTCCCTTCAGAAGCCCCCTTTGTGGAGCTCTTGTCAGGTTTTGCTGCTACCAACCTTGCTTGAACTCCAGGGAAGGTCTGTTCTTCATCTCATCAATTTCCTTAAAATCGGGGATTGAAGCCCCTTGCTTAAGAGAACGGTATTAGGACCTGATCGGGAACGGTTGTGAAATCAGTGGGAGCCAGGACTTGTTCAGCTCCTCTAGGATCACACCATTAGCCAGCAAAGTTCAATGAGCTGTCTCAGGTTTTGCTAATCCCCGGCTCCAAGAAAAACGGCCAAAAAGGTTTGAAAGATTGTGAATGCAACGGACCTAGCCTTGGGTCTGACAGGTGGCTCGTATTAAGAATCAGAGCGTGTTAGTGAGGGCTTGTTACTCGTTTTTGAGTTGCCATAAAGAAACAGACTTTTTTTTTTTTTTTGGTAAAGCATTTGCTTATGTAGCAAAGTGAAGAGAAGATGGCATCGCGGCTTTTCGTACTTAGATTCTCTGCTCCCATGGAGAAAGGTGGGGGAATTCCTTATTATTCTCACCGGTGAGGGTTGGGGGAGATCTCTTGAAAAAAATCTAGCCCCAGGTATATTTTAGGGGGTTGTAATGACCCATCACGACCCAGTGCCTCAGCATCTGCAGATTCTCTAACGTGAGATGAAACCTTCTAAAAAATTGCATTTCAACCATAAAGTCCCCTCCCTGCCCCAGAGCCCCCAAAGCATTTGAAAATATTTTTGGCCAACACACTGTTTGCAAAACCTCTTAGCTCAGACACAAAAAATAATCCATTTAAGCAGCAAAAAAGCATAGCCAGTTCTGGGGTATCATGGTATAGATGCCCACGTCAAAGAAATTGGGAGAGCAATTTCAGCCACTACATTCTTGGGCTGGGCTTTTCAAAGGAACCCACGAGATTTAGGCACCCACTAATTTTCAAAGGGTCCTTTGAAGATTGCAGCTGTAATCCTGCTCTTAATGAGCTGTCAGTCACTTCGCTAGAGGTTAGATTTTATACCATGAGACAGAAATGGAATGCCACACTGCTATTCATAAGGCATATTGCCTGAATGGCTCTGGGATAGTGTATTTTCTGGGATATTTGAATTAACACAGGAACTTTGCTCTTTCGTAGTTCACTTGCTCCTGATGAGTCCTTATTGAAATAGGTAAGCCTGTCATAATCATCTCCATGACCACTCAAGTATGATGTCAGAGAGAACTCTTGCAGGGACAACGTAACAGGAGCCATTCAGCCTTCTAGTACTAGTCTCATTCCTTGTTAGTTCCCTCGGAAATAAGAAGTGGGGGAGACAGAGCAAGAGTGACCAGGAAAATGGAGAATGTGAGGTTTTCCAGAAGGCACGAGTGGCTCTTTAACATTCCAGTGATACTAAGACTGCATCACTGGCTGCTGCTTCTCAGGTTCAGGGAAGCTGTCAGTGCAGTCCAGCCTGCAAAGGGCCCTAACCCAACATGGATTTAGTTGCCAGTTTTTAGCAAAGCCAGAAAGTGGGAGTGAAAGAACCAAACCTGACAGTGAAGAGGAACTTGTCTTCTCACCCTGCTTAATTCATACTCTGCCTCAGTAGCTTCTTGGATGGCAGGTCCCCTCCAAGTGCTCTCCAGCCAGGAAGCTGGTTGTTCTTGCTGTTGAGGTGATGACAATTGCATTCTCATTGGCATAATCTCAGAGGCCACTTCCATAGTGGTACCCTGATTGCCGCTGGACTGCTTCAGCAACTGGTAAGAGGGGAGAGGCCAAGAATGGTGTGCATTCAGCTCATAGCCCAGAGTTTAGTAACGAGGAAGAAGTGGTGACAGACACAAGAAGTGGAATGTGTGAACTATAGCGCCCAGTACAATGGGGCTCTGGCCGCTAGTGTAATACAAACAAATGAACAATAATGCTGTTCCCAGCAATACCCAGAGGAGGACTCGTACAGCACATTCAGCCTGTGTGGAACTGAAGTGACTGGGGCAGCAAACGTGCATCACCAGCCATGAGTATCAGGTTGATACAGGCACTGGCCTGGGGCCACAGCTAGCTACCTATGGTGTCTGCCCCCAGCTTCAGGGCAGGTGAGAACAGAATAACAGCCTCTTGGAATGTGAGGTTACTGATACATGAGGAGCTGAGGAAGGAAAAGACTCAAGGACTAGGAGGGGAGTTGGAATATTTCAGCTCCTTACCAAGGAGGAGAGAGAAGGGAAGCCTGGTTAAAGGACTGTGTGTTTGGGGGGAAAGGGGCTGGAAGAGAGCCCTCCATGGGCCAGCTAACAGCATTTGGAGTAAGCAGTCATGAGTACTGGCTAGTCCCAGCTGAAGTGCTTCCTATCTTATTAACTGAGCGGGTAGGAAAAGGCCATTTATTTTTCATGGGAAGTTTTGAAAGACTTGTTGCCCCATTTCCTCTGGCCTCCCCTCCCCCCAAAAAATCCTGCAATTTTTCTTCCACTTTTCCAACCAAAGCCATTTACTTTAAGTTTTCCTCCTGCTGCCTCCCCTACTTTTTCCTTTTTGCGACTGTCAGAGGAGGAAAAAGGCAAAGAAACAGGGAGAAATAAAATGACCCATTTGTTTCTTAGGTTTATGATGAAACACTGACATTTCGAAGGGAACCAATATTTTCTATAGAAGTTTTCATTTAAGAAAAGGCCATTTTCTGTTCAAAAACATTTGATGGATATGTTTTTGACCAGCTCTAATCTTTACATTTTAGTAAGATTTCTAGGTTCTGTGCAAACATACCAGAAGATGCAGATCATGCCCCTCAGAGCTCACTCTACCATTCCTGCTCTCACACACAATATAATCCTGTCTC